GGAGATCCTCAATGGAGCTAATGTAGCCATGAGGAAGATCTGGAGATGATCTAGAGGTAGCTACGGATTGGGTTTTGGAGATCCTCAATGGAGCTAATGTAGCCATGAGGAAGATCTGGAGATGATCTAGAGGTAGCTACGGATTGGGTTTTGGAGATCCTCAATGGAACTAATGGGGCCATGAGAATGATCTGGAGATAATCTAGAGCAGTGGTTCTCAACCTTCCCAATGCCGCGACCCTTTAATACAGTTCCTCATGTTATGGTGACCCCCAACCATAAAATTGGTGTCTCGGTTCCTAAGACCATCGAAAATATGTGTTTTCTGATGTCTTAGGTGACCCCTGTGAAAGGGTTGTTCGACCCCCAAAGGTGTCCCGACCCACAGGTTGAGAACCACTGATCTAGAGGTAGCTACAGATTGGGTTTTGGAGAACATGCACAGCAAATTGAATAAGCCATGGCTTTGAGCACAGAACAGTTGACTTGTGAGTTTTTCAGATACAATCCAATCTCAAACCAGCTCATTTTGAGCATACATAGCAATACCAGATTTAGACTTATATACCGCTCCACTGTTTTTTACAGCCCGCTCTGAACAGGTTACAGAGTTAGCATATTTCCTCCACAATCTGGGTCCTTGTTTTACTTACTTGCAAGGATGGAAGGCTGAGTCAACCATGAGCTGTTGGCAGAATTAACTTGCAGTATGGGTCATTCACAGCCCGTAATGATTCACTAACAGTCTGTGAAGATTCCGACAGATGTCTGCTCGAGTTGACACAGTCTTTCAGGGTAATGTTGATAAATACCCACCTTTATCTCCTTTGAAATGCTGCCAGAGACCAAATTGCCAATTAGTTTGCAAGGCCAAAAGTAGCACAGAGTCAAACAGGACTTCTCAGAGCTTGAACCGACTAGATGAACTAATTGGTTCCTGCAAAGGCTCACGTCCGTTTGTCCTCTTTTATGTCTCATGGGAGGGACCAATCATCTCCAAGCCTTACTCCCGAGTGGCCCTTTTTTCCTTCATTGTTCTTGCCTTCTGGCAGCTCTGTGCATGTGCACCCTGGGAACAGGCTCCCACTGTTCTTCTGCCTTGCTGATGTCAGACTCTGGAGGCAGTACATCATTACCAGATGGCCTTGTCCCCCCCAATCCCCTTCTGCCTCTGATGCAGAGCCCTTGTCCGAGCCTCCCCCAGACTCCAGGACTGGCCCATGTTCCTCCCCAACCTCCTCACTGTCCGACTCTGCTGCCGGTTCCGCAGGCCACCAGCAGACCACAACACAAAACACTCACAATTCATGTCAGACAGAAGCAGATAATTTGCTAAAATTGAAAAAGAAATGGCACATTCTGACTTCACCGCAGTTTTGGATGTGCGCCGGTGGTTCAAGAAGGAGTCTTGTTCAGTGGGAGACGGTATCTCCACGTGGCTTTTAGCGTATGCCTGTCTGGTTTCCTGGCCCCAATCTCTGTTGCACCCTTCCTCAAATTTCTCTCCTTCAAATGTGTTGGATTCCCAGGACCTCCTGTTGACCGGTCTGGAGAACATTGGAATCTGTTAGTATGTGGCGCTCAACGTGCATTCTTCTACCTTTCTGTCACCTCTCACCTCCACCTTCCTTCCTTCCTTCCTTTTTTTTTTTTTGCACAGGTCTCGATGACTTCCACCTCTCCATCCATAGCGACATGGCCACCATCGTCAAAGCCATGGCCTCGCCAGAATCGGGCTTGGAGGTGCGCGACCGCATGTGGCTGAAGATCACCATTCCCAGTGCCTTCATTGGTAAGACCCGGATGGAGGAGGCGATGGTTGTTTTGTTTTTTGACAGCTGCTAAGTCTTCAGTGGGCCTCTCAAATGGGTAGCTTGGATGGATAGATGGCAGACTGAGATTGGAAGATACCAATGTTGCTGTGGAGCAGGGGGTCAGGAATGAGGGCCCTGTTGTGACTTGCACCATGCAGGAACTGTATTGGATGAGCCGAGGTGGCGCAGTGGTTAGGGTGCAGTACTGCAGGCCACTTCAGCTGACTGTTATCTGCAGTTCAGTGGTTCAAATCTCACCGGCTCAAGGTTGACTCAGCCTTCCATCCTTCCGAGGTGGGGGAAATGAGGACCCAGACTGTGGGGGCAATTTGCTGACTCAATTTGCTAAAAATCTGTAAAACCGCTTAGAGAGGGCTGAAAGCCCTATGAAGCGGTATATAAGTGTAACTGCTATTGCTA